TAGGTGAAATCGAGCCAGGTGGGCTGGGGTGGGAGACCTTCTAGCCACGGACCTTTTGTGCTGGTCCTGGTAGGTGTGGAGTTGGGATTCACATGGGCACCAGATATAGATGGACACTATAAAGTAATCTCACACTAGCTCAGAATTGATTATAATAAAGGGTTCTTTATTTAGGGGTAGACTCACAGATCACACTCCTCTGAATGAGTAGGGAACAGGAACCTAATCCAGCAGCTGAGAGAGATACCGTGCAAAGTTTATATCTATGGCTAAGTACGAGAGACCACGCCCAAATGGGCTGGTGTCTTAAAGGCTATTGGCTGAAGTTGTTTTCACAGCAATCAACTACCCTTTTACTAAGTTACATAGATAGTAAATATTTGCTCAGTTCATTTGCAGAATCTCCCTCCCTCCCTCCCTCCCTCCCTCCCTCCCTCCCTCCCTCTCTTCCTTCCTCCCTCCCTCCCTCTCTCCCTCCCTCTCTCCCTTCTTCCTTCTTTGATTTTTGAGAGGTTGGGAAAAGAAGTGGAAAATTATACTTCAAACAAGAAGTTGGAAAAGAACTTCTAATAGTATGGAAAAATTTACAAGAGTTTCAAATGTTTTGATTAAGAATTATTGCCAGATGGTGGTGGTACACACCTTTGATGTCAGCACTCAGGAGACAGAGGCCAGGCTGATCTCTGAGTTTAAGGCCAGTCTGGGTTTCTAAGAAAGTCTAGGTTCAGTCTTACTCCCAGGAGTTATCTAATACCAAACAGTCACACAAATAATACATACAGACTGAGCCGGTTGTATATAGGAATATGAACACACACATGCATGCACATGCACATGCACACTCAACTGTTTTAAAAGGCCATGAATCACAAAAGGGGAGGGAGGTTTCATGGGAAGACTTGAACAGAGGAAAGGGAAGAGGGAATGATGTAATTATATTTTAATCTTAAAATATAAAATAATTTAATTAACTACTATTCATTTCTACCTTTAAAAATATTTACTAAATTGAAGAGCATATTCTATACGATTTGCACAAGATAAAGATAGCTGTCTTAGGGTTTCTATTGCTGTGAAGAGACACCATGACTACAATCTCTCTCTCTCTCTCTCTCTCTCTCTCTCTCTCTCTCTCTCTCTCTCTCTCTCTCTCTCGTATGTAATATGTCTGTGTGTATGTCTGCAGGCCAGAAGAGGGCACCAGACCTCATTTTACAGATGGTGGTGAGAGCCACCATGTGGTTGCCGGGAACTGAACTCAGAACCTTTGGAAGAGCAGGCAATGCTCTTAACCACTGAGCCATCTCTCCAGCCCCCCTACAATAGCTCTTACAAAGGAAAATATTTAATTGGGGCTGATGTACAGTTCAGGTGTACAGTTTAGTCTATTATCCTTATGGTGGGAAACTTGGCAGCATGCAGGTGGCTGTGGTGCTGGATAGGTAGCTGATAGTTCTATATCTGGATCAGCAGGCAGCAGGAAGAGAGAGTGACATTGGGCTTGACTTGAGCTTCTGAAACCTCAGAGCCTACTCCCTGTGACATACTTCCTTTAGCAAGGCCACACATATTCATATAAGGCCACACTTCATAATAGTGCCACTCCCTATGGATATATAGGGGGCATTTTCCTTCAAACCACCACTACAACAGTTAATAAAAATATTTAATAGCCCTCTTCCAGTCTGAGTGTAAACATACTATAAGCTTTTTCCTCCACCATGAGACAGGGTCTCACCATGTAGATCTTGCTCTTCTGGAACTTTCTTTGTAGACTAGATTGGTCTCAAACTTGTAGAGATCTGCCTACCTCTGCTTCTTAAGTGCTGAGATTAAAGGAATGCACTACCATGCCCAGAACTATATAGACTTTTTGTTTGTAGACATTATTGAAGATGTGTGCTTCTATGTAACAAAGTAGATTTTCAAAATGGAAGTTTCCCATAACAGCACAGAATGAGCATATTAAAATCATTAAATAATCATCATAAGACTTGGTATGCTGGGTATTTTGGTACCTATATTTCTAAATTTTGTATGCATTGGTAAGGTTCTGACACAATAGTACACTTAAAGACATAACTCAGAGCAATTTGATTTCAGGAAAGGTCAATTGATAAAAGTAATTAGTACATTTTAAACATTGAACAGCAGATAACTTTTGCTAAGTGTCTAAATAGATGGGTCATAATCTAAACCTAGGTTGCAAGTCATTCAAACTTGTGGCTAATGAAATTGGATTTCAGCGTTTCCATGAAAACTTCAATAGACACATTCACCAGGCTGACACATTGACTAATTATACACAACAAATTAAGTTTTACCTGAAGTTTTACTCTAGGACAGTGGCAGCTGACACCCCAGGTTTATTGAAACAGTAGTTATTTCTGTGTCCACTGGAATCTTTGCAGTGACGCCACATTTAAGGATAGTACGTCTCCAGATGCACAAGTTGTTTGTTGTTAAAATCTCCATTCTACTGTTGTTATGGATTAGACTAATGAATTATACTTGCATCTTATTTCATTCCACCTTCAATGAATGCTAGGCCCCAAAGCACTGGCGCTCTCCCAGACCTGCAGTATAGTGGACAGCAGTCAACTATCCAGCCTCCTCACAACATCAGCAGCAGTCTGCTTGGATGGTAGTGTACTGTCTGTCACAAAAGGCTAGCCCAGAACTTGATTGCCTTCTTTCTCCACCAGAGTAATATCGTATGTTGCTCTACATACTCTTACTATTGTGGCGACACACCACACACACACTTGTTTTTTTGTTTTTTGTTTTCCCCCAGACAGGGTCTCAATGTATAGTTGTGGCAGGCCTGGAACTTGCAATGAGACCAGGGTGGTTCAAGCTCATAGAGATCTGCCTGCCTCTGAAGGGTTGTGGCACCAGGCCAGGCCAGCACTGTACTTAAATTCCTCTATAAACTTAAGGTCACATTGGTTGGATTGTGTGTAACCAGGACAGTTCATTCAAGCTGTTAATTTAGTTTAACAAAACAAAAACCAGAAGGCATCCAGTAGGGTTACAAAAGAAGAATTTTAAAAATCAGTTGCAGAAATGATGCAGAAAACCCTAAACCCACTTCTGAACTCTACTTCAGAATTCTACTTGAAAATTTCAGTGTTTGGAGTATGTACTTGGAAGAAGTGGGGAATGAAAGAAACTTCCTAACAGGAAGCAGGGATTTCAGTCTAGTAACACTGAAGCATTATCAAGGAAACACACTGAGGTTTACTCCGCCTAGGCCTGAGCTCTTGTAAAATTTTAGCTCAGTATTCAGGTTATCCACTCTCCTGGGGCTTATTGGTGGAATAGCAGTGTATTTCTACAGCTTTCTCCATAGAGTTCATGCTCTGCCTAGCAGTAATCTCCACTGCCTTCCAGAAACTGTGTGTGACCACGCACACCACAGAAAAGGAGCTTGTTTACTCCCCGAAGGTTGTAGCCTCTCCTGAGTGGTGCAGGAGGAGACAGTGCAGGTGGCAGGTAACTAGAAGCTAAACAACCTTGTTTTTAAAGTGGGTGATTATATAATATGCAATACTAATTATGGTGGTGATAAGAGTAGTAGTTGTGGTACTTTTTGTGTTGATTTTATTTTTATAACAATTTTTGCTGTAAGAGAACATAGTCAAGAGTTAGAGAATATATGGTTATATAGTTATAGGACATCCTGTCATGGGCCCTTTATAGTATGTTCCTCATGTTGTAGTGACCCTCAACCATAAAATTATTCTGTTGTTGCTGCATAACTGTAATTATCCTACTGTATTAATTGTAATGTAAGTATTTGATATGCAGGATATCTAATATGCAGCTCCTGTAAAAGGTTGTTCGGCTCCCAAAGGGGTTATGACTCACAGGTTGAGAACCACTGCTGTCATGCCTAGCTTTTTGTTGTTGTTTTTGTGTGGGTGCTGCACTTCTGAATTCAGGTCCTTCATGCTTGTGTGACAACTTTGTGAACTGGGCATCTCCGCAGGTCCCATATGATACTTTAAAAAATGATGTCTCTATTTGTTAATGTGAGTATATGTATTCATGCACACGAGTGTAGAGGGCAGATTCAACCTTGGATGTTCTTCCTCAGGAGTTGTCCACTTTGGTTTTCTTTTCTGTTCATCCCACCCCCACCCCAATTTCCTTCTTCTGAGACAATTTCTCACTTGGACCTGGGGCTCTTAGATTAAGCTAGGTTGGCCAGCCAGCAGACTCCGTGCCTAACTTTGTGACTTCTTGGAATTGAACTCAGGTCCTCATGCTTGTGACAAGTGCGTTATTGACTGAGCTGTCTCCCTAGCCAAGTGAACAGTTTGTGTGCTTCTGTTTTCAAGTGTTTTGTATGTATGTGTAAAAGTGGAAATGGTGATTTCCTCCTGTGCACATTTCCACTACCACACATGTTGTCTTTTTGCCCATGTCTGTCCTACTGAAGTGAAGTAGTCTGGCACCGTGCTGTTGGTCTCCATTTTCCTAATGAACTCATGACACTCAACATTATTCTAAGTGCTTCTGTCTTTCTGTATCCTCTTTTGGAAAAAAAATCTCTATTGAAATCCTTTGTCCATCATTTAATTGGGTTATCTTATTGTTGAGTTATAATGATTTTTTATATAATGTATATTATACATAAAAAGAAGACCTTTATTAGATACAAATTGATATAAATAAATACATTTATTAATATTATATATTAAATAAATTTTTATATAGTTTATTTTCTCCTGTTCTTGGGTTTTTTAAAATTATTTTCATGTCATTTGTTGCAGAACTTTAAAAATTTTTGGTGGAAGTACAATTTATTTTTCTTGTATTACTTATTATGATTTGATATTAATGATTTGTGATTATGGTATCATACTTAAGAAACTTGCCTAATCTAAGGCTATAAAGAAATACATATACTCAAAGAAATACAATTAGCTTGTGCACTGAGTTGCTATGATGTCTTTGTGAAAACTCAGTTGACCCTGGGTGTTGGTTTATTTCAGGATTCAATCCTACTCCACTGACCTGTGCCTACTCTACAACTATTTTGATTATAGTAACAAGTTTTAAAGATAGCAACTGTAAGTCCCCTCACTTTTCTTTTGCAATAAATTGTTTAATTCTTTTGCCCCACTGGGAGTGCCATATGAATTTGAGGACTAGCTTTTCCATTTTTGAAAAAGACCATTAGAATTTTGAGAGTGCATCTAATTTATAGGTGTGTGTGTGTGTGTGTGTGTGTGTGTGTGTGTGTGTTTGAGACAGGTTCTCATTGTGTAGCCCTGATTGTTTGTCCTGGAACTTACTGTATAGACCAGCCTGGCCTTGAACTCAGAGATGCCTCGGCCTCCCAGTGCTAGGATTAGAGGCGTGTGTTATCAGTCCAGACTTTAAGTGTAATTTCACACAACAGTGTTTTATAGTTTTTACTATACAAGCTTTAAATTTAAGTATATTCCTGCACACTTTTCTTTTTATGTTATTGACAGTAGAATTGATTTCTTTTCCACAATATCATTTGTTAATGTATACAAATAGAACTGACCGGAAGTGAGTAAAGACAGCTAGAACACAAACAGTGAAACAGCTGGTGTTGGTGTTCTCATTGTGCTGAAGAGGGCTGGATTTTATGACCTGTTGGTGCTGAGGTGCTGCCGAGGATTTTATCCTTTATTCCATTAATGCAGTTTGTTGTATTGATTCTTGTGTGTTGAATCTACCTTGTTTTTATTGGATATATCTCTTCTAGTCATCTATATAATCTTTTAAAATTTTTAGAAAAGATTTATGTATATGAGTTTTTTCCAACATGTATGTATGTATGTATGTAAGTATGTGTGTGCACAGTATACATCCCTGGCTACCAGGGAGGTCAGAAGAAGGTGTCAGATCCTCTGGATCTGGAGTTTGGGATGGTTCTGAGCCACCACATGAGTGCTGGGAAATGAACCTGGGTCCTTTGCAAAAGCAGAAAATGCTCTTAACCACCGAGCCATCTATAGCCCCTGTAATCCTTCTTTTATGTACTAGGTTATGTTTGCTAGTCTTTTATTGGATTTTTTTTCACTGTGTAGCCCAGGCTGGCCTGCCGTTGGTTTTAAAATTTGTCTGTTGACAAGTTAGAGTTTGTTTTTAATCTGTTTACCTTTAACTTGTTTTTATTCTATTTATATTTTATATAATTTATATAAGGTATATCTGCTATTTCTGTTTTTGTGGGTCACATTTTCTTTCTTCTCATTTGTATGTATGTATATGTATATGCAAAAAGTTTTTTTGCAGTGTGCTGTTTTTAGTTTTTGTCTTTTTTGCTTTATTTTAGATTTGCTTTTTGGTGGTTTATCTTTAGAACTCAAACTGTTGTTGGTTTGATACCAACATACTTGCAGGAGCTTACACAAACACATATATGATTGTATCTTTCCTCTCTCATTACAGTTATACAAATTATATTGCTATAAAATTTATGCCAAGCAACAGTTATAATTATTCTTTATGCAATTTTCTTTAAAACAATGTATTATTTTTCTGTTGCTGTTTTCATAGAAAAGAATTAATGTGGCAGGAAGACCGCATGTCGTTAGAAAGGCCTGATTACAAAACGCCACCTGGGAGCTGAGATTTGAGGAGAGTTATGATAAGGGCTCATTGTATCTGAGCTGTTTATACAAACAATATGCTTGTTGCTGATCACCTGCTAATTTTGGATCCTGGAAGTTTAGTGTGTTGGGGGAGGGTACCTACACAATCAGGTCCTAATGTTAGGTATTCTGAAAAACTCAGAAATTATTTCTAGTGTATACACACATATCCTTCATTAGTGTCAGTTATACTGTTACTTTCCTTTTTGTGGTTACCTCTTCTGGTTGTTATTAATTAATGTGTTCATCTTCTTTCCTTTTCAGGCAGTAAATAATGTTGATGGGAGAACCATTTTCCTAATTTTCAAATTATTAAGCTGGTCTTCATAATGGGTAAGTTTAAGTTAAAAGCATTTAAAATTTTTTATAACTAAAGAATAGGATGAAGGAGAAAATATTTTTTATAAATTTATTTAGAAATTTATGATATAGTAGATTTAGCTAGCATTTTACTTAATGGATTTTAAGGCTTAGGGAGAAGTATCTCTCTCTCACACACACACGTTGTAGAGGTTAAAAAGACATTTAGAAAGCCTAGTTTTTGAGGGCTCAGCATACTCTCACTCTGTGTAAGGTTGGGTTAGGTGTGTAAACCAAAGCTTCACATTATCACTTTTAAAATTCTTCTTCCTCTTCTTTGTAGCCTTGAACGCAGTGTCCCCTGATAGTCCAGGTTCTCCAGGTCTCTGGTAGCTCCAAATTGGGCACACTTTTACTGACTCCTGTTTGCATCTCACTTTTGTTTCTTTCATTTGCGTTGCGACTTATATATTAAGTTGGTCTTTATAACCCTTCTGAAACAATATACACTCTAGTTACAAGACAAAGAACAGTCATTGCCTAAAAATACATAAAAGGAATGGGGAAATGGTATAATTTTTATTTCAAACAAACAAAAAAATACATACTGGAATATTCACAGACAATCATGACTATTTAAAAGTAGCCATCACAAGCTGGATGGATGTCTTGGAGCATGTAGTTAGTTCCAGCACTGAGGAGATAGAAGCAAGGGGGGGGGGGAGAGTCTCTGAGTTCAAGGCCATCCTGGACTGTGTAAAGTTCTAGGCTACATAATGAAACCCTGTCTCAAAACAAAGAAATTACACACATACAAAATGGGAATCACAGATACTTGCATTTTTTGAGAATATTAATATATAATGAATATGTATACAATCTATCAAATTCAGTATTTCTTTTTGTTTGTTATTATTATTATCATTTAGAGATAGGGCTTCTGTATATTGCTCTGGCTGTCCTTGCACTTTCTATACCAGGCTGCCCTCAAACTCAAGGATCTTCCTTGCCTCTGCCTCTTGAGTGCTGGGATTAAAGGTGTGTGCCCCCATGCCTGGCATTCCTATACGTATTCCTAATAAAAGTTACTTGAAATTAATTCCTAACCCTTTTCTGTTTTTATGCTCAATTGCGTGTAGGTGTCAAACATCTGCTTCTTTTTTGTGCCTGTGCTTAGTCTATGGTCCTCAAGATATTTTCACTGCCTGTTGGACCAATCCATGACCCTTCTGGCACCTGTCACCTGTCTCATTTGCCTAGCATTCCATGGCTATCACAGGCATTCCTAACTAGAGATGTTAAGACGGTCCCTTTCTAGTTAGTGTGTGCACACTATGCTTGGTAGTTTGTGGAATTGTTAGCTCTCATCCATTTGTCTTGTCAGAATCTCCAGTTTCCACCTTGGCAGGACCTTCTTAAGACCTGAATTTTGTTAAATGATCTTTTCCTTTTTTACATATTATAAAAAGTATTTGTTTTCTTAACATGGAAATAAATATATGTGGGCATGAAAAGAGATTGGAGCTAAAGCTTTCATAGGTATTTGTTTATTTGGCCACTGTGTTACTGAGTATATAAAAATGCCTAAATTCAAGTGCTAAAGATTTTTTTTATCAAAATAATCAGAACATGATATGTATATTTAAGTACTAGATTCTTATTCCAGTGTGGGATTAAGGATCCTAACTTTTTGTTTTTGTTTGTTGTTTTTGTTTTGTTTTGTTTTGGTGTTTTTGAAACAGGGTTTCTCTATGTAACAGCCCTGGCTGTCCTGGAACTTGCTCTATAGACCTGGTTGGCCTTGAACTCACAGAGATCCACCTACCTCTGCTTCCTCAGTGCTGGGATTAAAGGCACATGTCACCACTTCCTGACTGGCCTCTGTTTTCTAAGAAATGAATTTATTTCATATTTTTGCTTTTAAATAAATTTTTGTGTGTGTGTGCCTGGTGCCTACAGTGGATAATAGAGGTTATGGGATTGTCTGGAGTTACAGTTGTGAGCTACCGTGTGGGTGCTGGGAATGGAACCCCACTCCTCTGCAGGAAGAGCTGGTGCTCTTTAGTTGCTGAGCCATCTCTTCAGCTCCACATTGTTATTGGTCTTTGTTGAGAAATACTTCAATTAATTTATTTGTTTGTTTTCAGAATTTATGTGTTTGTTTTATATGCATTGATATTTTGTCTGTATGTGTGTCTGTGTGAAGGTGTCAGAAACCCTGGAACTAGAGTTACAGACAGTTTTGAGCTGCCATGTGGATGCTGGGGATTGAGCCCGGGTCCTCTGGAAGAGCAGCCAGTGCTCTGAACTACTGAGCCATCTCTCCAGCCTGATAAATACTTTTATGTTTGTAGTCTTTGGGAGAAGTTTGAGAGAACCCTTCAGAGCATTAGTAGGCAGTGTCCAGAGAGAGCTTTTCTGATAGTTCTAAGTATCACATCTAGGAACACATCTCTAAGGTGTGGTCTGTGTTTTGAATATATAAATGCTAAAGGAAGATGATGTTTACATAAGGTTTATGTTTTTACTCACTTTTAGTAAGGTTTCTGATGCCTGATGTTTCGTTTGGAAGTCAAAGAAAAGAATTTATTTTAGCTGACGCAAGGTGTTAAATCAGTAAATGAATTAGAATGGCATTTACTTCCTACAAATGTCTCATGTATAGAGGGCTTGGAGAGAGCTCAGCAGCGAAGAGCACAGCTCTAGGGGATCAACACCTCTGGCCTCTATGGGCACCTGCACTCATACATACTTATTCACACACAAACACATACATACACTTAACTAAAAGTAATAGAAATAATATAAAATAACAAGTAAAATATTTAAAACAAAAATAAGTGTCTCATGTGTGGACACTTAGTTTATGTTCAACTTGAGTCTTACGCAGATTGATGTTAGTTGTTCTCAGAGGTGGTATTTTGTATTTACTTATAACACAATATTTGGCAGGTTGCTCCCTGTGAATTCAAAGCCAGACAGATATACATAGTGAGTTCCAGGACAGCCAGGGCTACATAGAGAGACCCTGTCTCCAACAGCAACAGCAGCAACAAATTTATATAATCTATGAGTGTTTGGGGTGCCCATAAGGGCCAGAAGAGTGTACAGAATTCTAGAGTCACAGGTGGTTGTAAGCTGCTCAGTGTGAGTACTGGGAACTAAACTTGGATATTCTGGAAGAGTAGCAAGCCCTCTTAACTTCTGAGCCATCTCTCTAGACCAGCTAATTCATTTTTAAACTCAATTCCATTATAAATTCTGCTTCTTTTCTATGATGAATATATGTTGAAATTACAGTTTTGTATATGTGTTCTTTTAAAAAATACCTAGATGATCAGCAAGCTTTGAATTCAATCATGCAAGATTTGGCTGTCCTTCATAAGGCTAGTCGGCCAGCATTATCTTTACAGGAAACCAGAAAAACAAAACCTTCATCACCAAAAAAACAGGTATTTATTTCAATAATACCTAAAACATTTCATTTTTATTATTTTTAAATTATGTGTATTTGTGTGTCTGTGTGGGTATGTGGATGAAATTGTAGGTGCTTGTAGAGTCCAGCAGTACTGGAACCCCTAGTGCTGGAGTTAGAGGTGGTTGTGAACTGTCTGACATGAGTGTTAGGAGTTGAGCTTGTGTCTTCTGCAAGACCAGTATGTAGTAACCACTGCATCATCTTTCTAGTCCCAAGATCAGTAATATTTTAATAAGTATATTTTGTTGTTTTATGAATAACTTTCATTTCATAGCCTGATCTTGTAAAGACTTCTTTTATACTTTGAATCAAATGTTGTGTTTAATAAATTATCAGGTATGTTTGTTTTTTAAATTTTGTCTTATCTACAACATTTAATGTGATATAGTGTAAATGCTGTGTATAGGTATAATATTGAAATAAAAAAAGAAAAAATGAATACATGTTTTAAAAGCTGTATGACAGTTGTATAAGTCTTTATCTCACCTATTCTTCAAGCATCTAAGATAAACAATTTGTTTTCCCAGAAGTCTCCTCTGGATACTTAGAAATGTGATGATTTTGATTTCTATAAACAAGATTAGTATGAGGTAGAAATCATGGAAAGTAGAATTTTAGAGTTCCTCTTACGTCTGTTTTTACTTCCCATAGTTTCAGTTACTCATGGTCGGCTTAGGTCAGAAAATAACAGGTATGATGTATAGATAAGCAGGTCATAAGTTTTAAATTTCATGCAATTTGAAGTAGCACAGTGAAATCTCACACTATCCTGCCCTACTTTGCTTAGGACATGAATTATACCTCTGTGTGTGTTGTATCCATGTTGTATATCCATGTTTGTTACTTAGAAGCTATTTAATTTATGGGATTGACTACCGAAATATGAGAGAAAAGAGACTGACAATTTGAACATTCAGAAAAGAAGCTTTAAAGTACTTTCTTTAAGAGAAAAGGAGAAAGTTCTGAATTTAATAAGGAAAAACCAAGTCAAACAACAAGCATATGTTCAGAAGCCTTGAAACATACAGATGAGGAAGATCTATAGTATAGCATTCTGTATGTCCTTAGGTTCAGGTCATTCGAGTACATTGGTGCTCTTTCCTTATTGTCAGATCTGACAGTGTAGTCTCACCTCAGCTTTTTGACAGATGTCAGGTGATTAGAATTATACTTTGAAAATGAAACCCCCTCTCTTCTGCTCTATGTCCAATGAATAGGCTAATAACTAATATCTTCATTTTATTATAGAATGATGTCCGAGTCAAATTTGAACACAGAGGAGAAAAAAGGTAAGTAAAGAAATGTTACACATCAATTAAATCATATAATAAAACATGTGTTCCAATTAAGCTATTAAAGATTCTTTTTAGATTTGAATGAATTTTTGTGATTTTAAAATTAAAAATGGAATAGTCTTTGGTAATATGTGACACTCACCTAGACTGAAGAGAAATAGAGTATGTCAGGTGCCTGCTGACCATTGGAAATACTGAGTGTGCTTGCTTTGCAATATCAGGAAGTAAATAAGATTGTCTCATAGTACACACTTTAAAATTTTACTCTTTCTTTTATTTTTACTGAGTTCAATTTTTGAGTGTTCTCAGGAGATTTCAGTGCCATGACATGTGCTTTGTTAATAATGTTGTACAGTGAGTTGGAATGGTGACTGCAGACTATTTATTTCGTATGATTGTAAGCTTAACCTTCTATGCCTGGTGTCCGACTAGTATTTGTACCTCAGGGCGAAGTAACTGACAAAAAGATCTAATAGGAGGTATAATTTTTGTTGTTGTTGTTGTTAGTGACTCATGATGTTAATGAAGGCTTGTTATTCTTAAGGAATTTAAAACGGCTCATAAGTCATATAACTTGAAGATGTGAATATAATTCACCAGAGATACTGGGGGGAAAAGTATACCTGACAAACTGTAAAACTATTATCTAAGCTGTGAGGTGGTAGTGCATGCCTTTAATCCTAGCACTCAGGAGGCAGAGGCAAGTGGATCTCTGGAGTTCGAGGCCAGCCTTGTCTACAAAGCAAGTTCCAGAACAGCCAGAGCTGTTACACAGAGAAATCCTGTCATGAGAAACCAAAAACCAAACCACACCAAACGAACAAACAAACAAAAACTTATTGTTTAGTAATGTATTCCCTGTTTGAAATTATTTTCTGGGTCTTTGCTAGCTTTTCCATTTCCTCAGCTCTGGATTTAGTATGTTATATGCCCTAATACTATATAAAATGAGCACAGAAGTGGCTTCTCGCCTGAGAAGCTAATCTAACATGGTTCTCTCTAGACTTAGTGCATGTTCTCTGGGCTGGCCAGGCCTCAGGAATAGAAGAAGCAAATAATCATAATTTATTTCATTTCAGTCCCTTAGAGTCTTTAGTAAATGTGCTAAAATATTGAATTAATAAGGATCCAGAAATCAAATTTGATCTCCACAGAATGGATAACTTACTATTCTTATCAATTTCACTGCATTCTGTTACAAATATGTCACATAGTTAATTAAATTCACTTTCCTAAGTGGATGCTTTACACTGGTTTTTAATATTTATGTGATTATTAATTAAACTTCGAGAATCTTTTAAAATTATAAATTAGCATAAAACAAATTTTAGTGGTTTTGTTTTAAATTTTATATTGAAATAATTTTGTTAAAAAGTGTGTTATAATTTTTACTTTTTTTTTTTCATTGTTTGATTTTTTTGAGGCCAGGTTTCTCTGTGTAGCCCTGACTATCCTGGAACTTGCTCTGTAGACCAGGTAGACCTGAAACTCACAGGGATCTGCCTGCCTCTGCCTCTGAGTATTGGAATTAAAGGTGTGTGCCACCACCTCCCAGCTTTTTTTTTGTTTGTTTGTTTATGTGTTTATTATGTGCACTGGTGTTTTCTCTGCATGTATGTCTGTGTGAATGTGTCAGATCCCCTAGACAGTTGTAAGGTGTCATGTGGGTGCTGGGGATTGAACCTGGGTCCTGTGGAAGAGCCAGTGCTCTTAACTGCTGAGCCATCTTTCTAGCCCTTAATTTTTTCATATAATGAAACAACTGTTGTAAGTGTATTATTTATTACAAAGAAAATAAAATATTTTAAAATTATTTTCCTGTAGAATCCTGCAGGTTACCAGACCAGTTAAACTAGAAGATCTGAGGTCTAAGTCTAAAGTTGCCTTTGGGCAGTCTATGGATCTGCACTACACCAACAATGAGGTAAATGTGCCATTTCACTTCAGTAGTCTGTATTTTTTACAGTTCATATGTTCATGTAAGAGCCTGTGCTTTCATTTGGTGACTAGGAAAGAGTGGCACATTAGATGACTGAAATGTGACATGTTTGTAAATTTTACCCTATTAAGTGGAGGTGCTACTGTGAAAATAGTTGAGTAAGAATATACAGTAGGATGATAGGCATCACCTCGCCATTTTCTGCTTTAGTTTTTTTCCTTTTACTCTATGTACGCAGTGAATTTACTTTCCTTGGGCCTATAGAGCTTTGGGAGTCAACTTCATTAAAACTTAGGATCACTGGGTGTTGTTTAGGATACTTTTTTTATTCTTAATATGTTAAATATTTTTATTTATTTTATTGTGCAAGGATGTTTTGTCTGCATGTGTGTCAGTGTGGATACCAGATTTCTGGAATTGGAGTTACAGACAATTGTGGATGCTGGGCATGGAACCTGGGTCCTTTGGAAGAACAACTAGTGCTCTTAATCACTGAGGCCTCTCTTTGTGCCCCATTCCTATGTTATTTATGTTTGGGGTCAGTACATATGGTCTTGAGGGCTCACTTTGTTTTTGGGATACCTTTTTAATCTTAAGATTAGAACTGTATTAGATAGTAACTGGACTTTCTTACTCTGTATGGGATCTTAAAATTTTTAGTTAATTTCTTTAATCTTTGGAAAATGCTTTTTATTGGCCTAATGTTATGATTTGTGAGTTGCAGCCTTTTATGGGGTAGGCATTACAGATTTGTAGAAGAAGCAGACAGTAGATGAGTTGAAATTTTTTTTAAGGAAATACATAAACTCTTGGGACAATGAATAAAAGCGAAGTCAAAGATGGGAGTGGCGGTGCCTGCTTTAATCCCAGTACTTGGTAGCAGGGGCAGGTTGGAGGCAGAGGCAGACAGGGATGGTAAGTTTCAGAGCAGCCAGGTCTACATAGAGACCCTGTCTCAAAACCCCAAACAAAAAGGTCCATGAGTGTCCTCTTTATACTATTAAGGAGAAACTAGCTGAGATAATATTTAAAGCCAGCCCTACAAAGAGTTTCAGGGGAAGAACAGAAGATGGAGCAGCTTGAGAACAGTGTGAATACCAAGTGTACCAGTGGAGATGGAGTGACAAGAGAGGTCACCGTAAAACTTCAGCAGAGAAAATACATGAAGCCTGTGCAAATAAAGTACTTCAGAATAACTCCAAGAGGAAAATGCTTTTTTTCTTCACTTTCTTCATATGTATTTAATAGACTATTTGAAGAAAATACTCTTTTAAACATAAAAGGCACAGAATTCATCACCATAGTAGCCCAGTCTGATCGCCTATTTACAACATAGAGTACTTTCTGTGCTGAATACCAGAAAGTTTATTGCTCTGGGAGCTCCAGGGCCTACAGCAACACCAGCCACAGACACAGAGCCACAGCAGGACTTGCTTTCATAAGTACAATAAGTACAAATCTATGTCTTAACTAGGAACTCTGAATGGAGTAATGAGTATTGTACTATAGCAATATCTTGAAATTGTACTTTTCAGTTCATTTGTGGTTTATTACCCATAAGCATTTGTCTTTCCCAGTCTTCTGGGTACTGCATCATAGGTACATGCTGACCAGGTTTTCAACAGCCAGCCTAGGGTTCTTGGAGTTTTCTAGATGTAAGCATGGGGTGAAGAACGTAGAGGGAAGATGATTATCAGCTGTCCTAAAGGGCAGCTCTCTGGATAATGCAGTTTTCAACCCCCCCCCCATTTTTCCAAATCCCCTATCTAGATTCTTTTCCCATATAAATAACTTGACCTTGAGTCATTATCTCCTAGCGTGATTCCCAGGGAAACCAAGACTCCTACTTTCCAACCCCTTTGTCCTCCCCTTCTTCCTTTCCCTCTCTCTCCCAGGGTGTTTTGTCAGCTATAGGCAAGAGGAGTTAAGTTGATATGTAGTAGCACAAAATTAGCTGCGAATAGAAACTGGGAATAAATTTTTAAGTAGAGAGTAGACAGATGTAAACAGAGTATAAGACAGAGTTCAAATTAGTCTTGGTTTGTATTTGCACTTGGCAGCTTTCCCTTTTAAAAAAAAATATTAATTTTTTTTTTGAGACAGAATCTTACCATGTAACTTTGGCTGACCTGGCACTCACTGTATATCTTAGGATGACCTTAAACTTCTGTCAATCTTTAAAAAAGAAGACACTGTTTTCATAAAACACTCTATAGAGTATAATTATATACCATAGTAGTTCCTGGGTTTGGGCACATCTCTGGTGCTCACCCTATGATACGTACTGAACAGCATTTGCCAAGGGCTCTTTGCTGTGTTCTGCTGGAAGGGATCCTATCTTCATGGACTTACACTGCAGAGGACTCTGAGCTAAGCAGACTTTACATTTCAATATGTCTCACATGCTCTGCTCTTTAGAGATGATTAGTAAATGTGGCATATGTCCTCTTATTTACAGTGTTCCTCTTCCACTGAAATGACACATGCTTTTATATCATTGACAGTTTCCTTAAGCTGCACAAAATTTTTTACTTAAAAAAAAAGATTCTTATTTTTGTAAATTATGTGAATCCTACTTTTTTTCATAGACCTCTTGGGTGTTTCTGTCTTTTATAACATCTTAGCCATGAGTGAGTCCTAATGAAAGTAGACTTCACTTTGAGGGTTTCCTGAGATGATCGCTCATTTGGCTTGCTTGTTCTAGAGTGTAGTGGTCAGTCACCAGGACCAGAGATGAATACAGGTGAACTGTAGATTGCAGATATACTTCCCATGGCAGATGTCACTGATACTCAAGGTTTGTTAAATTGCAAATACATCAGATAGAGTATAAATCTGTAGTTACTATTAGAAAAAGAACTAAGAATTTTATTTGTGCAGATGAAAAGAGTAACTAATTTTATAAAATTTGTGTGTTTTTACCTTTCAGTGTTCTTATTAGCATGAATATACTTACTATACCTTAAATTTAGCGTTATAAAATATCACAGAAAATTAATTTTTAGTTATATTTACTAGAAGAATGTAATGATTAATAAGAAAGACATTTGACTCTTTACATTCTTTCGGAGACTTGAAGTGGTGTTGGAATAGAGGATAGAGATGTGTATACTCCTTAAACTTTCATTGTAGTGAGAGAGTACAAGGTGTTTTGAGATTTGCAGTTCCCCTGTAATGGAGCTGCTCATGGAAGAGCTTGACCTGATGTGGTGTTTGCATGATTCCTGTGTCTTTTTGTTCAGCTGGTAATTCCGTTAACTACCCAAGATGACTTAGACAAAGCTGTGGAACTGCTGGATCGGAGTATTCACATGAAGAGTCTCAAGATATTACTTGTAATGAATGGAAGTACACAGGTATGAATTGGGGTTGTATTTCTCACTGAAGATTTTAAGACTTGTAATCATTTCATATATTCTAATTTATAAAATTAAGTTTTATAAATTATTTAATTCATAAATTTAGTTTACAAAATTGAATTTACATACTTTTCATTACTGTAACTTAATCTCCTTGTTCCCCCGAAACTATACAGAGTTATAAATAAGAATATATTATACATGTGAAATGAATAGAAACTGGCAACTTGGAAAAAATTATGTTAGAATTGAAATATCCATTTTTTATTTTTACTTTTACATTTATTTTGTATGGATGGGGTGACGTGTGCACATTGTCACAGGCACATGTATGAAGAAGATCAGTTCTCTTCTTCCCACATGTTGGTTCCAGGGTTTGAACTGCAAGCATGCTTTCCTGCTAAAGCCATCTTACTGTCCCTGAAATATCTTGTCTTCTTCATCCTCTCCTCCCTTCAACCAACTGCTTTCCTCCCTCCCTCCTTTTCTGTTCCTGGGTGCTAAAGATCTTGTTCTCGCCTTTCAATTAGGCTTGTGCCACTCTTCTGGCAAATTAAAATTTGTAAGAGTGGGTTTGAAAAGTCCCAGCAAGAATGGAGAATAGCTAGGCTGTGTTGTAGTGAGAGGAGGAGTCAGTTGAAAGCCTCAAATGGGAAGAATAGCATTAATTGCCCTTTTCTTTTCTAGGCTACTAATTTAGAACCATCACCATCATCAGAAGATTTGAATAATGCACAACTTGGTGCAGAGAGGAAAAAGCGGCTATCTGTAGTAGGTGAGAAAGCCAGGGTCTGAATAAGGAAATTCTCTTTTTTTAATGTATTGTAACATGAAATATATTCCTGATAAGTAGCGCCTTGTCTCTATGCTCTCTGCAATTACGTGCTTGAACCACTTTGTCTTAACTGTTGTTCCTGAGAAATTAATTTTACATATTGTAGGACTAGCTATATCCAATTTAAAATTTTTGTTTATACAGAGTATTTTAATATTCAGGAATTCAAATAAAATTTCGAAGAGTTTTTAATAATATGAGTAAAGAAAGGCAGTAACTAAGACATGATTGGACTCTCATTTCTAAGTTCTCTAAGGTTTTAGGTATTGCCAGAGTATGCTATCAATATAAAAATGGCTAAGAATAACTAGATTGTGTTATTTTTCTTGTATCTAGTTTTACTTATCATGAATAATGAATTCCTTATACCTAAGCTTATGATATAAAGAAATAAAGATCCCGTGTGCTATCTTGTGAGGTGACCTTATTGAGCCTGGGTAGGCAGAGGTGTTTTAAACCCTCCATGCTTGTTGCCATAAAAAAAGAAACAAAAACAAAAAACAAGACAACATTTACAAGGAGCTGATGAAGAGATGACTTAGTGGTTAAAAGTGTTTGTTGTTCTTTGAAAGAACCAAAGTTTGATGTTTGATTCTCAGCACCAGTGTCAGGTGGCTCACAACCATCTGTGTCTCTTGATCTAGGAGATACAGCACCATCTTCTGGTCTTTTCTGACACTTGCATACACATGAATACATGTTGACTCACATGTACATATAAATAAAGGCAATAAAATAATTTTTTGTTGTTGTTGTTTTGTTTTTTGGTTTTTCGAGACAGGGTTTCTCTGTAGCTTGGAGCCTGGCCTGGAACTAGCTCTTGTAGACCTGGCTGGCCTTGAACTTAGAGAAATCCACCTGCCTCTGCCTCCCAAGTGCAGGGATTAAAGGCGTGTGCCACCACTGCCTGGCTAAGAAGATAAATTCTTAAAGTATCATTAAAAAGACAAAAAAAATTGACAAGCTCAAAGTGTTTGTTGCCTAAAGAACAGCTGTTTTTAACAGATAGGGCATAGAGTAGTCACTCCAGGTAGCATGAACTCTTGTATTGAAGGCATAGATTTGAAAGGGAAGTAAAAGAGGAGAGACAGGTAAGTAAAAGAGAAAGCAAGCAAGCAGGACAAAGGAAAACATTTGAGTGAAAATCTAGAAATGACTTAAATAAAAGAAGGGTGTTAACAATGAATGAAAAGATTAAATTAGGATGTGAGAAAGTAGAGGAGTTTTTTATGTTCTTTTGTTTTATAGAATAAGCTGCTTTATGATCATTCTCTTTTTAAGTGTCTTGTCTCATGTGAGTCTGTTTCAGAGTACTAGAGATATAACCTACAGAGATGATACATAAATCAACACAGCTTATCCTTAAGCAGATGTACTTGATATTACTAAAAAAAAAAAAAGTGAAATACTATTTGAACTGAGTTCAAATTCTGGCACTCTCACTATGAAGCCAGTGCCTTTTCCCTTGCTTTGAAGCAGTAGATTAAAGCCATGAACAGAATACTTGTAAAGTAGGCTTCGCTTCTCAAACTGGAGGCACTGTTGCTATTAACTATATAGTTTTTCTTTGTAGAAGTAAAATCAGCCACTTCGTTTCAGTTGTTAGACACAAAAAGCTTAATGCACTAGTTAAAATGCAATTTTGAATTTTCCATTATTAACCTACTAATAAGTATTTTTGTTGTTTGATTTGGTGCCAGGATAAGACAAAAACTGAAAATTGTGCAGAATTTCTATGAGTGTGTTAATATGCCCATTACAATCAATGTTAATATGTGTTGTCAGGTAATTGGATGAAGAAACTTTTATAGCTGCCTTCCTTTTCAGTTAGTAGTTGAGTGTATTGTTCTTTTATTTTAAAAAAAGGAATATTCAGAAAGAGTAGAAATATCAGGGATGCAGTTATAACTATAACCATAGCTATTACAAAGCCGACATGAACCCTGAACTCAGCCCACACTTCTTTTCAGACAGCAGATGAGGTCTCTGCACGTTTAATAGGTGTTCTCTTGCTCCTTCTCCCTACTTAATAAAGGACTCCTTTACATATGCTTCTTTTCCTTTAAACTTGAATAGAATTTAAATGCTTACACCACTTATGTATCTATTTACTTTTTAAAAACCTGCAAGGAGAGCAGAAAACTGTGTTAATAAAGTATCATTTCTGAATAACCAGGTAAAAATAGGCAGATTATTGTCTCATAAGAGTTGTGAATAATTAAATGAACTAACTAAATGAATGTCAGGTCTACTTCATTTTTTCTTAAAGTATAAAGTTTTTGGAGGAGAGGGATAGGGCAGAGTCTTATTGTATAGGCTGGTTCATCTGGAACTCTATGTACATAAGGTTGGCTTCGTACTTAAGAGATCTGCCTGTGCCTGCCTCCTGGGTGCTGGCATTAAAGGTGTTTGCCAGTACACCTGGGAAATTATGAAGACATTTAAATGAAAGGAATGTAGCTTGCTATAAGAACGTAATTTTAAGTAATAAAAAATAAGATATAGGATACTAAATATAAAATAGGACCCAAATGACTAGGAAGCAGGTTTCTAAAGATTAAAGAGAGTGACCAGAAAGAGTATCATGGAACTAAATGTGCACAACATATGTTTGTGGTGAATGAATCCATCACAGCATTCTTACCAAGAAGTGATGTAGTACTGTGTACTTTGATAGTAAAACAAACTAGTTGCCGAAGACACTAAGATGGTAACTTGTCCTAGACTTTAAGCCATGCCTGAATACAGAGCTCTTATTCTTTTACTATATCATGATATCAGCAACAAATTATATCAAAGACTAGCAGATGCAAATTATCTTTGGAAATTCAGAAGCAGTGGCATTAATGTAAGTTTCTCTTGTGTGTTATCAGTTCATGATATGGTTATCATCAGTCTGAAAAACTTTAGTATAAATTAGCATATTTGAGTGAGGTTGTAGAATGTTAATTTAGAGTTTAGAGAGGTTGTAAAAGCTCTAAACCTGAATATTCTGATTAAGTTTCTATAAACACTAGATTTCACTTGCTAATTTATTTTTATGTGGTTAGAAATATAACCTATTAAATTGAAACAAAAATAGTTTGCTTGCTGACAGTAATAAAACTTACAATTTTTCTTTTTAAGGTACCACTAATAGAGATAGAAGTTCCCCTCCCCCAGGATACATTCCAGATGAACTACATGAGATCGCCCGGAATGGGTCATTCACTAGCATCAACAGTGAAGGAGAGTTCATTCCAGAGAGCATGGACCAAGTAAGCCACTATGTGTGAAGATGCACTGATCAGGACCAGTGTGATTTGGCAGATACCTGGGGTGTGTGTGTGTGTGTGTGTGTGTGTGTGTGTGTGTGTGTACATTTTCTGTAATCCTCTATCTTAACTGAAAAAAATATTAGAAACTTCTCATTAATTTACATATCCCTTTTTGTATTAGTATGTAAAATTACTAAAACAATTTGATTTTCTTTCTTTTTTTTAAGGATTTATTTATTTATTATATGTATGGTGTTCTGCCTGCATGAATGCTTGCAGGCCAGAAGAGGGCACCAGATCTCATTATAGATGGTTGTGAACCACCATGTGCTTGCTGGGAATTGAACTCAGACCTCTGGAAGAGCAGTCCCTGCTCTTAATAGCTGAGCCATCTCTCCAGCCCCATAATCTGATTTTCTTATATTGATCATCCATGATGCATTTGGTTTGTAATCTTAGATTAACTGTCATTCCGATTTTTAAAATGAATATTTTATTTTATATATTTTTACTTCTTTGAATTTTCGAGATAGGATTTCTCTGTGTAGCTCTGGCTGCCCTGGATCTCACTCTATATATCAGACTGGCCTCGAACTCCTGAGATCCACCTGCCTGTAGAGGGCTAGAGGTGTGCATGCACCACCTTTGCCTGCTTAATGAGCACTTTAAAGATGGAGTGAAATTATAAATACTTTATGAGGCTGAGGTTTGTGAACTGTTTATTCCATTTTAAGAACACTTCAGGTTTGTAGTAATCAGATGTTTTTGTGAGGTTGCTGTTAGGTCCTTACCCTGCACTGATGCCCACATACTGCAGCATTTTAAGTCTAATGTAGCAGTCACTGTATGGTTCATCTCAATTGAACAGGGCCATTGTCCAGTTTTTAATAAGCAAAATTACTTCAGCTTCAATTACTTGACTATAGAAAAACTGTATTTTGCCTTAAAAAATTTTGTAGTCACAGCTTGTTTATTCAGAATGTTTATAAATGAGTAATTCTGGAAAGTGATTGCTGTTTGTTACAGAGTTTCTTTGGAAGGTCCTAAAAGGATTCTGAAATTGTGGGGAAAGTTGTGTATATTTCTGGATATGCTGGAAGCCATTGAATCATATATTTTAAATGCATGAGGTTTATGTTATGTCACAAGCAGTTTGTTTATTTTTTTTAAGTAACTTTTGGTTATTATCAGGCAGAATCATGGTGGAACTCTTTATTTTCCTAGATGCTGGATCCATTGTCTTTAAGCAGCCCTGAAAATTCTGGCTCAGGAAGCTGTCCATCACTCGATAGTCCTTTGGATGGGTAATTATGATTATTGGTCTGCCTTTTAGTTCATGTTGATATATAGTGTTATCAATAATTCTTTTATTATACATTCTGAAAAATGTAGCTTATTGATAATTGTCTACACTGACATTGAGTAAAGTTTTCTATATTGTAAATAAATCTTTTTGGTTTGAGGCAAGGTTTCTCTATAGCTTTGGAGTCTGTCCTGGAACTCACTCTGTAGACCAGGCTGGCCTTGAACTCACAGAGATTTGCTTACCTCTGTCTCCTGAGTGCAGGGATTAAAGACGTGCACCACAGCTCCTGGAGTGAGTAAATCCTGGAACCTCATCAGATTCAATAACTTTATTGTCTTACTATTTTTTTTTCTATTTGTGGTTGTCAAAATCTTGTTTGGAGCAAATGCAAACTTAGACTATGTTTATTTTAAGACAGCTCTTGAAACTGTTGCAAAGTTTCTCATGTTTGGTTTTGGCAGTTTCTTTTAAAATTTTATTTGTTCTTTGTATGCATGATGTGCATTTGTGAGGGCACCCTCTTTTGTTCTCAGAACATTGCTCTTTTCAGTCTTCTGTAGCACAGTTAGTATTAGATGCTTCACTTGCTATTTCCTCCAGGCTTCTTTATGACAACAGATACACGTTTGGAAGTTCACGTATAATTTCCTCTACACATATCTATGAAGCCTGTCTGTCAGTGCTTGCTTTGGGGAATCTACTCTGTTTACTCGTACCCTCCCCACCTCCAAAGAAAAGAAAGAAATTTTGTAGTATTCCATCCTGAAAATTTGTCATTGATGTTTGATAAGTTAAAATTATATGTCTTTTATATAGATTCATAAACAGTTTTAGAAAAAAAATCTTCCCGCATTAAACAGAAATGCAGGTGCTTCAAACCTCCATGGTTTCAAATGTACCATGTTTACCCCTATATGTAGTAACTGATTTTAAAAGCTTGGCTTTTTGTCTGTGTGTACTAAATAAGTGTTTCAAAGAAGTTTCTCTTTTTAAAACTTTATGTTAGTACTTATGTAAGCTCCTTCACACACACACACACACGATATGAACACACATACAAATACAGATATTGGTTAAAACTTTTTTAAACGTTTTATTGCATACTTTCTTTTAATTTAATCTTATATTTTCTATTTATAGAGAAAACTATCCAAAATCACGGATGCCTAGAGCACAGAGTTACCCAGATAATCATCAGGAGTTTTCAGGTTTGACTATAAATTCCACGTGCTTGAATGTTTATGTCATGTTTTAGCTGGGAGGGGAAAATCTTTTGAAAAAAATTAAAAATGATAAGTGTACTTTTCATTATTAAAAATATTTTCCTTTTTTAATGATAACATTCTTATGTCTTAACAGATTATGATAACCCTATATTTGAGAAGTTTGGAAAAGGAGGAACATATCCAAGAAGGTATCATGTTTCATATCATCATCAAGAGTATAATGATGGTAAGTTTCGAACAATGAGACTATAAAAAACATTAGCAAATATTTTAAAAATGACCACATATTTAAAAAACCATATTTATTATGACCAAATAACTTGCTCTTGAGTCACTTAAGTTTCCGGTTAAAAATAAATAAATAAAAACCTTTGCCTTTAGTCTCAGTACTCAGGAGGCAGTGTCAGGCAGATCTCTATGAGTTCAAGGCTACATAGTGAGTCTCAGGACAGCCAGGTACATAGAGAGACCAGGTTTCAAACAAACAAACAAACAAACAAACAAACCCAACAAACCTTTTTACTGGGGCTGCAGCTCAGTGGTAAAGTACTTGCCCAAAGCCCCAAATTTGGCCTCTGTCAATCCTCCAAAAAACATTTTTTGAGAATATCAGGTTATAACTAAAGCAAAATAATATAGTAGTTTTATGCCATCTTATGATATTTATGTTTAATTACAGAGGAATAATTGGAAATGGTATAAATCAGAAATTTAGTGTCATATTTCCTTATCCCTTTAAGAAAGTAAATTGGGCTGGGTGGTGATGGCACATGCCTTGAATCAGGACTTGGGAGGCAGAGGCAGGCGGATCTCTGTGAGTTCAAAGCCAGCCTGGTCTACAAGAGCTAGTTCCAGGATAGGCTCCAAGAGAAACCCTGTCTTGTTGCACAAGGAGGGGGCCCTTTGTTCTGTTCCAGCAGCCCGGCTACCTTACACCCGAAATAATCACACAGAAACTGTATTCATTTAAATCACTGCCTGGCCCATTATCTCTAGCCTCTTATTGGCTAACTCTGACATCTTGATTTAACCCATTTCTATTAATCTGCATATCACCATGAGGTCGTGGCTTACCGGGAAAGATTCAGCATGTCTGACCTGGTGGCTCCATGGCAGCTCTCTCACTCTGCTCCTTTCTCCCAGAATTCAGTTCTGTCTTCTCCATCTACCTAAGTTCTGCCCTATCAACTAGACCAAGGCAGTCTTTTTATTCATTATCCTATGAAAGCAGCACACAAACAGAAGGAACCCCTACACCACTCACTGTATCAGAAAGAAAAAGAAAAGAAAACAAATTGGGTCTGAGAAGGGGTCTTAGTCACTGAAGTGTATGCTGCTCAAGCACAAGAAAAGCTGGCACAGCAGTGCATGTCTCTTACTGAGCTTGGAGGAGAGGATGTGGAGCAAAGGATTCCTGAAGTTTAGTGGTTGGCTTGTCTCACTGAATCCGTGAACATCAGGTTCAATGAGAGATCCAAAAGTAATACTCCAAAAAGTAAAGATGGCAGCTGGGCATGTTGCCCACGCCATTAATCTCAGCACTTGGGAGGCAGAATCAGGTGGATCTCTGAGTTTGAGACAACCCTGGTTTACATAGTGGGTTCCAGGCCAGCCAAAATTACAGAATCACATATACCTTGTCTTAAATAAAACAATCAGATAAATAAATTACATGGTTATGCCCTGGTCTTAAATAAGTAAATTCATACATACATAAATAATCGAGATAATAGAGGTGGAGAGTGTTTGAAGAAGATGCCCATTGTTGACCTTACGTCTCCACACGCATGTGCACATGTATATCAAACTTGTCTTGTTCTATTGTGAATAGACTTCATGGTCATGACAACTCTTCTAAAGGAAAACATTTCACTGAGGCTGGTTTGCATACATATGTATATATAAATTTAAAAATGTTATAACTCTTAAAAATTAGCATACAAAATATAGAGTATTAGGTTTCATTATAGCATTTTTCAAACAAAATTTATTTTTGTTGCTCTTCCCCTCTACCCTCCTCCCCTACCATTTTGTCCTTCCCCACTTTTTCAAAATCCTTTCCTCTTGTCATCTCCTGTTTAGTTCATAATCTGTAACTATGTTCATACCCACATATATACATGCATATAAACACTAAAAGTTAAGTGTAAACTGTTTTTTCGTTCTCAGCCACCCAGTCCCAAATAGTCACACAGAAATTCTATTAATTACAATACTGTTTGGCCTATTAGCTCAGGCTAATAACTCTTACATCCTAAGTTAACCCATTTTTATTAATCTGTATCACCATAAGACTATGGCCTACTAGTAAGGTTCTGTCGTCTGTCTCCTTCGACAGCTACGTGGCATCTCTTTGACTCTGTCTACTCTCTCTCTATATTTCTGTTCTGATTCCCACCTGGATTCACTCTGCTAAGCCATTGACCCAAACAGCTCTATTCATCAACCAATAAAAGCAACTTATATACAGAAGGACATCCCATATCATTTAAGAATCTGTCTTTCTGAGTCTGGGTTACCTTACTTAATAAAGTTTTAGATCCATCCTTTTTCTTACAAATATCATTTTTCTTTACAGCAGAAAAAAAATTCACTGTTTGTGTGTCTTAGTTACCGCTCTGTTGCTATGAAGAGACACCATGACCAAAGCAGCTTATAGAAGAAAGTATTTGACTGGGATTTACTTACAGTTTCAGAGGTTTAGTACATGATTGTGGTGGGGAGCATGGCAGTAGACAGGCAAGCAGGCAAGGGGAAGGAGCAGTGTCTGAGAACCTACAGATCTGCAGGCCCCAGACAGAAAAGCTGAGCCTGTTGTGGGCTTTTGAAACCTCAAAAGTACATCAGCTGGGGCCCAAGCTTCAGATATATGAGTCTACTGGGGCATTTTTATTTAAACAGCCATAGTATATGCATTACATTTTCCTTTTGATGGCTATCCTTTTGATGGATATCTAGACTGTTTGCATTTCTTTGCTCTTATGAATAAATGTAGATGTGTCAGTGTCTTAGTTTACTCTCTGCTACTGTGGCCATAATCACCATGACCAAAACCAACTTGGTCATGAAAGGGTTTATTTCACTTAGTAGGCTACAACCCATCATGAAGTGAAGTCAGGGTAGGAACTGAAGTGGAATCCATGGGAAAATTCTACTTACTGGCTTGCTCTCATGGCTTACTCAGCATGCTTTCTTATACAACACAGGATCATCTGCCCAGGGGTGGCAGCACCCATGGTAAGCTAGGCCCTCCCACTCATATCATTAATTAAGAAAGTGCCCCACTGACTTGCTTACAGACCCATAAAATTGAGGTAGTTTCTCGATTGAGATTTCCTGTTCCCAGATGACTCCAGCTTGTGTCAACTTGACAAAACAAACTAAAAAAGCCTACCAGGATCGACAGTATCTCTCTGCTACCTATCACTCTCCAGTTTGCTTTTATCTTTTTTTAAAGTCATTATTGGAAATGAAATTGTTTTTCTTCTGTGAAAGTGAAGGATTTTTTCTGTGGTTTTCTTGTGCACATAAGTGTTTGTGCATTTTTCCATAGCAGGGCACATATAATCATTGTTATTTCAGGTTTTTCAGCCTATATGTCAAGGCTGATTCTTATTCTACACAATAGATGTTTAAGTATCTTGAAAGTGTAGTACATTAATGGAAGGAGTAAGTTAATTCTCTTTTCACTTTGTAGGTCGTAAGACTTTCCCAAGAGCTAGAAGGACCCAGGGCACCAGCTTCCGGTCTCCCGTGAGTTTCAGCCCTACTGATCACTCCTTAAGCACCAGTAGTGGAAGCAGCGTCTTCACCCCAGAGTGTGACGACAGCCGAATAAGAAGAAGGGGAAGTGACATAGACAATCCTACTTTGACTGTCACAGACATCAGCCCACCCAGCCGTTGTAAGTAATAGAAATGTTTAGCAGAACATTTGCATAGTTTTATGTTAACAGGAATAAATGGCAAGTCAGAACTCAGGGAAAAACACTCTTCACAAGAAATAATAGCATGCTTTTTAAAGGTGACTATACATTCAGGTATAAGTATATTAGGGCTAATTACTGTAGCCATAATTACTAATTTTTCTTCACTTTTACTAGGAAAATTGTTACTAATTATTCTTATACATTCTAGTCTACATGTCTTTGTTAAGCACTGAGACTCCCTATGCGATTCCTAAGAAATAGCCTAGTGAGGAGATTGGTTTATATGTGTCAGATGAAATACCTTTCCAAAACAACTTAAAGGAGACCCAACAGGATCCTTGTGGCCTTGACTGGCTTGGAACTCATTACATAGACAAGGTTAGTCTTGAACTCACAGAGATCTTCCTGCTTCTGCCTCCTAAGTACTAGGATTAGTGGTATACACCACTATGCCTAGTTTTTTTTGTGTTTTTAAGTTTGCTTTTTTATGTTTTTTACAATTTTGCATGGAGTACCAGACATCACTTATAGGATCATGAAGACTGAAGTAAATAAAATTTATACCTGGGCATATACACAACTCTTCTACCTCATTCATTTTTATGATGGATTGAGTCAGCAGACTCCTAGTTTACTGGGTTGATTATTTTGTATGCTCCCATACCTGTGTACCATGGGCTTAAAATTCCTCTAGAGTTTTACCAACTTGGCTTTTTAGATGGTTTCTAAGTGATCCTGCTCAAGCCCCAGCATTTGGTCCTTTTTTGTGCCTGCTTCTCAGAAAGGGAAACTCTCCTGTGTCCTTGTCCTGCTCCTTCAGCCGTGGGCTAGAGACAGGCTGTGACTTCAGTCTTGAGCAGGCCCCATTTAGGTCTCAAAGATGGGCCCTTTTCTGGAGGAAGAAAACTCTTAATGGTCAGGGCCTCAGGTTTCCAGGCCTCATTTATTCTCCAGGGTTTTTTTGTTCTGTTTTGTCTTTTGTTTTTCAAGACAGGATGTCTCTGTAGCTTTGGAGCCTGTCCTGGAACTAGCTCTGTAGACCAAGCTGGCCTCCACCTCACAGAGATCCTCCTGTCTCTGCCTCCTGAGTGCTGGGATTAAAAGTGTGTGCCACCACTGCCCAGCTTGGTTTTTGTTTTGTTTCATTTCCTTTTCCACTGCTCTAACATAGTGATAACAGGGCTTATTACTTTTCTTCAAGAAGTTTCAGGCTGTTTGGGTTTTTTGTTTTTGTTTTTGTTTTGTTTTTGTTTTTGTTTTTTTGGTGGTGGTGGGGTAAACAGATCTCACTCATCTGGCTCAGAACTTCTAAGGGAAATCCCCTCACTCTGCCTCCTTAGTGATAGAATTAAAGGTATGTGTCACCAGCAGTGACTCTTACTTTTCAGGGTGGCTGTCTATCACAGGGCCATTCCATTTCCTATCTTTGACCATGAAGGCTATGATCTCTGGCTCCTATGAGTACAGGGAAGAGGTACAGAGCGAAGCTGGGCAAGTTGGGCTTATGTAAGTCTTGCTTTTCCTGTGTTCAGTGCTATCGTAGCAACCCACACTTGTTCACGGTGGAGCTGAGCATTCCTTGCTGGCTGGAATGGATTTGTTTATATGCTTCACCATTTCCTTTCTCTTCTTGGAGTGCCTCCTTTTCCTTAGATTTTAGGTTAGTTTGAGACCCTGTAATCTGTGCTCCAAAATGTTCAGTAAAGGTTATAGTTTTTTTCCAGAGAGAGCAATATACATCTATAATTCCAATACTTGGGAGCAGAAGCACCAGAAGTTCAAGGCCAACCTGAGGTACATAACAAGTTACAGGACAGTCAAGTCTACATAGTGAGACCCTATCTCAAAAAAACAATTTTAAAAAGTTATGGGGGCTGGAGAAATGGTTTAGTGGTTAAGTGCACTGGCTGCTCTTCCAGATGATCTAGGTTTGATTCTTAGCACTCAGGAGGCAGTTTACAACCATCTGTAACTCCAGTACCAGGATATCCCATGCCCTTTTCTGGCTTCCAGTTCTGTATACATGTGGTGCACACATCCACACATACAGGAAAACACCCATATACATAAAATAAAGCTGTAATTTTATTGATTGCCTGATTTCTCCTACAGAAGTGGGAAATGATACTTTTTCCAGATTTCTGTATATAGATGGGACTGAAAACCTTCTTTACAAATATTTTAATTTGCTGCAGTAAATTGGAAAATTGGGTATCTTACATCTTAGATTAAGTGAAAAATGACTGTCACTTTGGTAGTGGGGAAAAGAAAATCTTCCTTGGGGGAAAAAAACGTGTCATGAGATGCAAACTTTTAAGAAGTTAGACTTCTTAGAAGAATAAGGAGAACATTTTTGGAAGATGGAGACCATTATAAATTTGGATGGTCATAATTTTCCCTTCTATCTGCAATGTTCAGTTAAGGATGTCGTTTTATAGTACCTGACTACTCCATTTTAAGAAAATATTCTTTTTCAGCTCCTCGAGCTCCAACGAACTGGAGATTGGGCAAACTACTTGGCCAAGGAGCATTTGGTAGGGTCTACCTCTGTTATGATGTTGATACCGGAAGAGAACTGGCTGTTAAACAAGTTCAGTTTAACCCTGATAGCCCGGAGACCAGCAAGGTAAAAGTCACCATGCAGTTACTTGGCCATTGTAAAAGCATTTTGTTCTTGGAGGAGGGGGGAACCTAAAAACAAAAACAGGACTAGTGAGATTATTCCAAGCCTAGAGGCTTGATTCAGTCCCCAGAACCCACATGATAATGGAGAGTCAGGTCCCACAAGTTGTTCTCTGACCTCCACAATTGTGCTGTGGCATGTGTGTTCACACCCCCCCCCATACCCAGAGCCAGACTAAATGTACATAAAAGGTTTTAAAATGTAATAGAACAATGTGGTGGGATTTGTGGGTTGTAGTAAAATGTTATTTTAGTGCTTCATTTGTATAAGATAACTTTGTCAAACCCTCAGGGACTGTTAAGTAAAGGTACTGGGGGTCTGGAGAGATGGCTTAGTGATGGAGAGCACCTGTTGTGCTTTCGGACAACCCATGCTCAGTGCACAACACACACCTGTCTGTAACTCTAGTTCCGGGGTGGTCGAGCATCCTTTTGGTTTCTGAGGGCTGCGTGCACACACGTGCCGACACACACACACACACACACACACACACACACACACACAGTCCAGATAAGCTCAGACAAGTTCACACACAATAAATTTTTTTTTAAAAATTATCGATTAGAGACTAAAATATTCTATGTTCAGTGAACATTTTGTCCATGAACTAAGAGTATCTTGTGTTTACTATTATGCGATAAAGATTTAATGTAGGGTCACTGAAATTGTCTAACAAGTAAAGATGCTTGCCACCAAGCCTGTCAACCTTAGGTCAATACCCAGAATCCACCTCCTGGGGACCCTCATGGTGGAAGAAGAGAACTAACTCCTGCAAGTTGTTCTCTAACCTCCACTTGTCTTTCCTGGTGCATGTATGAATGAACCTGCACACACACACAGAAACAAACAGAGTAACTTATTGTTTAAAGAGACTTAGCAGGAGTTCTGTCTTTCAGGAAGTAAATGCACTTGAGTGTGAAATTCAGTTGTTGAAAAACTTGCTGCACGAGCGAATTGTTCAGTATTATGGTTGTTTGAGGGATCCTCAGGAGAAAACACTCTCCATCTTTATGGAGTATATGCCAGGGGTAAGTCCATGCATCTTTATGGGGTATATGCCAGGGGTAAGTCCATGCATCTTTATGGGGTATATGCCAGGGGTAAGTCCATGCATCTTTATGGGGTATATGCCAGGG